AAAACAAACAAACAAAACTAAACAAAAACAAAAACAAAAAAAGAAGAAAAAGCATGAGAAGGGGATGAAGATGTCCCTTAAATTTATTTTATTTTTAAATTGTGTCAGTATATGTGTGTTGTGTGTGCTTGGGAATGTGGGTGCAATGTCAGCTCCTGGAGTTGGAGTTACAAGGGATGTGAGCTGTCAGATGAAGGTGCTGGGAACTGAGTTCAACTCCTCTCTAAGAACAGCCAGTGCTCCCAATTGCAAGGTCGTCTCTCCAGTCACGTCCAATGTTTCCTTGACTACTTGAGTGAGTGGCTCCATAAGTAATAGAACATATCTAAGGGAAATCTGCTTCCAGATTGTCTTCTGCTTCCCAAGCCACAGTGGAGTAGAACATCTACACGTAACTAAAGAGGCGTGGCGATCGACGTCAGAGACTTTCTGTTCTGCACCTTTCTCAGTTTTTACTGGATGCTGAAATTGGGTTTTGTAAGTGGGAAGGCGTGGACTTTCTATTTCCCAGGTTTCGTTCTAGTGATAGGTAGACTCTGGAGGGCTCAACCCCCACAAAAGGCAGTGGATACCGTGTGAAACATGGTTTCATTACAATGTGCCTATGTTCAAATGACCATTTTTTAAAAAAATGTCTATGAACTTGAATATGTCTCAGGAACAGCTCACTGTCCCTCTTCAGCGTATGCAGTGGGCCTGACACGAGCTGCCTGTGTTATATCAATGACGTTGTGTGATGATAAAGCACACACAGTGGCATCTGGCCTACGGTTGCATGGGCTTCTAAAGTTGCTTAATATGGGTAGCATTAGGTGCTGTCTACGAGAGAGAGAGAGAGAGAGAGAGAGAGAGAGAGAGAGAGAGAGAGAGAGAGAGAAAAAGGGAGCTGTTAAGACTTGCGAATTGTCTCTAGTGAAGGAGGGTTGTGTGGATAATTGCGGTTAGCTGTTTTTGTTTACGGAGCTCCTGCAATTTCCCTGGGCCAGATTCTTAGTCACAAGAAAAGTCCCCAAGTGCAGAGACAGCAGCTGTCTCCAGTCCTTCAGGGTGGCAGTTCTGAGCCCAGCGATGCACTCCTTCTTCTGAAATGATGCTTCCTGCCCATAAAACTCTGTGTCCTTCCTCAGTGCCATTACGGAGAGTGTCCTTATAAAAACCAGGCCGTTTAACAGATATCCTGAAGGAGCAAATAGCTGACCTGCTGTGGGCGGGGTTCACCGGCTCTCCCTGAAGTAGACTGAGGAGTTGATGCTGCATAAACCTCAAGGTGTCATCCCTTCTTTTTAAGAGAGGAACAGTACTTCAGGTGGCCTTTGCAGCCATGTGTACCATCTTGTCGATTCTATACTCATGTTAGAGCAATCAGAATGGTGTACTGTCTTACACAAAACCCTACTCATTCCTGCTATTTGTCTAATTTCCTACCACTTGGAAGGTGTGTGTGTGTGTGTGTGTGTGTGTGTGTGTGTGTGTGTGTGTGTAAAACACCATATAGCTATACATGTATGCATTTATGTGTGCAAATAAAACATTATGATGTAGCCACGATCTTTTACTTGTATAATCTTAGCACTTGGGATGCAGTGGCAGGAATTCAGGCCAGCCTCCGGTACATGGTGAGTTTGAGTCTAGCCTGACTACTTAAAAACCTGCCTCAAAGATGGGTGTGGTGGTGCACGCCTTTAATCCCAGCACTTGAGAAGCAGAGGCAAGTGGATCTCTGAGTTCAAGACCAGCCTGGTCTGTAGAATGACTTCCAAGATAATCACAGAGAAACCTTGTCTTGGAAAAACCAACCAACCAACCAACCAACCAACCAACCAACCAACCAACCCTCCCCTGCAATCAAACCAAACCAAACCAAACCAAAAGAAAAACAAAACACCCCAAAAGACCCTGTCTCAAAAGTAAAAAAGACATGCACACATAAACATACACATGCAGTAGTGAAGGATTCACTTGACCTGATTATAAAGTATATTTCAAATTTAAAATTTTAAAACTGTATAATTTTGTTAATAAAATCTTGTAAATTGAAATGCAATAACTGAGTTCAGAAATTAAAATCGGTTTAAGTGTGGTGTCAAGGACAGCGTAGGAATAATAGAATGACAGGGAAAGAAGCCCTTGCCAGGGACTCAGTGTGCAGAATCTGTACTGTGTGTACCATTGCATTATATGAAGAGCAGCGGGAAGGTAAACAGAATGTAAGAAAAATATAGTATTTAAAACAGATACAACTCTATTAAGTGAATTTACAGGGATTTTTTTTGATAGTATGAACAAGGAGATCAATATGTGGAAGAAACTTATTTTTTTTATAGAAAAAAAATGTGCTGCCTGCCTGCCTAGAAATGAAATAAGCTAAACTGTTAAAACACCTCTGTTGATAAATATAACGAACCATATTTTTTTTTTCTCCTGTGGGAACCAGGCACATGGTTGCTGCTGTGGATGATTCTGCTGGCTCTCCTGGAGAGTAACTGATTTGGAGATTTGGAGAGGGATGGTAGTGATGATGTGGTGGTGTGAACTAGACACTGCTGGGTGAATGCAAGGAATGAGCATTTGGAGGAAAGGTGGCCGTCTCGGGTACACATGCACGCTTGCCATCATAAGTCACGGAGCACGTCACACAAAACCCTCCCGTTGGCAGCCCACCATTGACATTTATCCCACAGGTTATTTGCCTACAGGGCACACACATTTTTTAAAAATGAGAACAGGGTTCTTTGGTTCCCACATTCATTTTTCGGACCCTATTTTTGTAAATACATCTTTGCTCCCCTCATAGGTGGATTCTTATTTTACCTTTGGAAATTTTATTCAGGGAGCACTTATGTCAGGGAAGTCGGTCCACAATTGCTGTCCCGAGGCCACTCGGAGTGTGGATCAGCCTTAATAGTGGCGGCTGCTTAGACACTGAGGCTGGGGTTCCCTGGGACTGTGCCTTCTAGCTGCAGCTGTTTGATTTATAAGGTATCTTCACAGGAGCCGTGCAAAGTCTTGTGTTGTTGGATTCTGCAGCGCTGAAGCTTGTCGTGTGGACTTGGGATAAACTTAGCAAAAAAATCAAGTTGTGTAAGTCAAGCGGTTGCACAAAGTGGGTTTGCTATGTTTACCACCAGGCTACCCGATTTTCCACCAAGATCCTCCGGTTGTTTATATTCGTCTCATTGCTTACTTGCTAGAACATAAGCTTTCCCTGGGTTGCTATCAGGTTCTTAAGAGTTTGCAAAGAAGCTTTAGGTGGTTACGGATCAGCTTGGTTAAGCCAGGTTGCCATAGGTGGGCATTTCTCTACTACGTAGTATTTTTATGAGGAAAATATGCTTACGTACTTATATTCTCAGGAAATAAGTTTTTAGATTTTTTTTTTTGATGTTTAAAGCTTTTGGAAACCATCACTGAAAAACCTTCTCTTGTTTAGTCATCTGTATAACTGTCTTCAAGCAAAAATTGATGGTGTAAGAGACAAAATGAATTCATGTAAATACTACTGTGTGCAGTGTGCTGGCTAGCCACTGCAAATCAGTCTGCACTTGACAGGATGGGTGCTTCCTCTTTTTATGTTTAGATGCAGGAACCTCGGACATGTGTGATGATCTTGCTCTGTGTGGTTTGGACTTTGGGATGAATGCCGATGGTGTTAGGGTAGCAGGAACCACTTATTGCTTTGCATTTAAGATTGAGTATGTGTTAATTGCCTTTAAAATTATATTTACTGATTTTATGGAGTAACTGGCTGTTGTGATTGACTGAAGTAAAAACCATAGTTTTATTGATGGTGTTTTTATGGCTGCGGCAAGATAATAGCCTTGACAATAAATGTTTGGTGAATTATTTGAAGGTTTGGATGGTTTTGAGAAAGGGTCATTAATCTACAGTCATTTGCAAGATGCCTGTGACATGTGTCATGGTGTTTACTGTCCTTGGAGGGAAACAGAAGGAAGCAAACACCCCACCAGACCCGGGAGGGGAGGGCGGGTAAAGTGTTCCTGCTGCTCTGGGGACCAGAGTTCATTCCTAGAGTGTGTGTGGAGGAAGGCGATTAGGATGCCTTTGAAGGGTGGGCGCATTTGGTAAATAATAATGGCAGAGAGGGCTGAGAGGAGCCTGGAGTGGCAATGGAGGGAGCTGGGAATATACGGTCCTTAGAGGGGATGTCTCATGTGTTTAAGTTGGTCTGTGTTACCAGACAAAGAGCATTTCATCTGTTGTCTGGTACTCCCTGTGCCTGAGGAATGAGTCTAAGTTGGTGTGGTTGTTGCATAGATCCTTGTCTTTTTTTTTTTTTTTTTTTTTTTTTTTTTTTTTTAACTTGATAGGATAACAAAATAAGGCCTTACATTGGATAACACTTTGACAGCTCTTCACTGATTTGTTAATTTACATTATTCAGGGCGCTTCTTTGGCCTATGCTAATCTTTTAACACCTGCTAAATATGATTCTGGCTTAGATGGGATTACTGTTGGGTTTTTGAATTAAGGCATTATTTGTAAATGTGTGACTCCTAAAGGGGGTTGTAAATGTGATCTTCCCAGGGGAGCGGCTCCACTCCAAATGCTTTCAGAAGTCAGCAGGCTGTGCCATCTCATTTTATTCTCACGTTCTGCTGACACATCACATAGAGAAAGTTCCTCTTCCCACGGAAAGGCAGAATGATGATATGATTTCTCATTTGGGTGTGTAGCAAACCTCATCTGGGCCACAGAAGAGTCCAGAGTCAAGCCTTCATTAGAGTTCTGCTCAATTTATCATGGTCGCTTTGGAAGTCCAGCAGGGCATGCTGTTGAGTCCTGCCTCAATGGGTTTGTTTTGGAGGATCCTTTATTAGCTCTTTGCTGCTCACATATGTAGGCCTTCCAACAGAACCAAGATGGCACACCTAGTCCTTTAAAGAAATTCGATGAATACCTCAAGATGCATAAAAAAGTCTACATGAAAATGCTGGTCCTGTAAATATCTCCTAAGGTTCCTTCTGTCTTTTTGCATTTAGGCTGTCCATCTGGCCCAGGCAAGCTTCCAGATCGAAGCCTTTGGCTCCAAGTTCATTCTCGACCTCATACTGAACAAGTAAGTATACAGCAAATCCTCTCAGGATGCAGGGGCAGTAAAGCTTCATTTCTAAGATTCATCGAAAGAATGTCTGGGCTGAAGCAACTGGTATTTTCTAGTGATTATGTGACAAATAATGCTTGAGGAAGAGTGGGAGGTCTGAATAGTAACTGTGTCTTTATTTCCTTTTCCTGAAGGAAGACATTTAACCTGTTACATGTCCCAAATGGAGAACTTACATATTGGGATTTTAATAACTTTTATTGAGTTGTTGATAATTTGGTACTTTCGTACATATATAAAGAACATTCTGATACTATAACCTCTCCTTATATTTTTGGTTGTGAGCCTAGCCTTTAACGGCTGAGCCATCTCTCCAGCCCAACCTCTCCTTTTATAGTCTCCTTCCCACCTCAAATACCCACCCATTTCCGCTTTAAGTTTCCTCTCCACATTCATATCTTATTTTCTTTTTCTGAGACCCACTGAGTTTAACCAGAATTGTCTGTGTGTCTGTGGAGTTTGAAACTATCTACTGGAATCTGGTGGGCTTCTCAGTTGGTATATAACCAAAGACAATTACCACCCGTCCCCCAGAATCCATCAATAGCCAGTAGTTCAGGAAGGAGGAGCAGGGCCCTGTGAGCCCCTCCCTGATTCATGATTGACTGTTGATGGGCCCAGACTTGTCATATTATGATTTTAAATGGAATAAATATTTGAAGTAATGCTAGTTAATTAAATGCTAACTGTAGTAATCAGTATATAAGAAGCATAATAAACTACTGACTGAAGCATAATGAGACTTCAGTCTAGAAATTTCTTCCATTTTACTTTTTATAATGCAACACACGACTTCTGTAGGAAGAAGACAGTAAACAATGACTCAGAAGAATCTATTTTGAGAAGGTGCTTTGCTTCAGGATTTGCACTAATGTAGATTCTTTGAAACTTTGTACTGATGAAAATTCACCCCATTGTCTCTGTGTCTGTGTTTATATTGATATTTAAATGCTTTTTCCCAAGTCGGAACACTTTGCACGGGTGTTCTTGTGCAAAGCGTGAGCAAAAGCTCTTGCCTTATCCAGGACTGAGGAGTTCACCTCGAACTGGTACCCAGCCTTTGGTGAAGGTGGCTTCCCCTTTGGTATGACTCTCTTCAGTTACAGCAACGCCGGACAGGATTTTCAGCTCTCATCAGTAGTTTAAACAGTACTACATTTTATAAGAATCTATTACTTAATGCTACCAGACACTGTAATGCAGGTGACCGCAGCCAACATCGGAGGAACTGCAGAAGGCTATTACATTTCTTGTGTGCCAGATTCTGTCAGCTCTGCAGAAAGAAAAAAAGGTGCCGAGTAAGCTTGGATGCTCCTTACTCAAGTGTTCTTGCAGCTTTAGGTCAGAATGAGTCAGCAGAACTCAGAATTTCTGCGTTAAAGATATTGCAGGTTTTCTCCTTCGGTCGAGCTCCAGTTCGCCATGCCCTGTCAGCAGTGTGCCTGCATAAAAGATTGTCTTGCCAAGTCTTCGGCTATGTCGGATGGCAGGATGTGGCTAATTTTAGTTTGTCTCAGCCTTCTACTTAGCTGCTGAGGGGGAGGTTGCAGTCAGCGCTGCGGTGTGCTTTGGAGGGCGGCTACGCTTACCGCCACACCACCGCTGCCGCACCAACTGCCGTGGGTTCTGAGCATTAAAAAACATCGTGACCGCAGCAGAACCTTCCAGTCGAAGAAGCGATGTCTGAGAAAGGGTCACGTGGGGTATCCCCGCGTCCTTAGAGTTATAGAGGCAGACCAGAAAGTATGTGTTCCTGACATTTAACATGCATAGGGATCAGGGTGCATACCTATTGTGGATATCCTTGCTTGAGGAATTGAGTGCAGTTGGGGTTGGTTGCTAGAGATGTAAAGTAACACTTGAGAAGAGCGTGAAGTGAACGGTCAACAGTGGAGTGCCATGGTAGTGTGACAAAACCCAAAAGGTTTACTCCTCCGTGAGTGCCAGTAAGCAGAGTCAGTGAAGGAAGGGTTGTCACTTGCAGCCAGTAAGGGCAGCATTGGCCTTAGGAGGACTTCTCCAAAAGCAGTGTCTCTCTGCACACAGAAGGCCAAGGATTTCCTTCTGAAGACGCATGCATATTCATATTGGAAAGAGTTGTCAACACATGTAGACTCTTGAGCATTCCTGAGCATGTTCAGTAGGTGATCATGTGGATAAACGTCTTCATAAATCACACGTTCAAAAATGGTGGGTGGGAGCATCCAGAGACTATAACTTCGCATACATAGGATTTAGGATTGGAAGACAAAGTTTACTCTGGTCAACCGGAGGATCAGTCAGCAATTTTGCTTGGTTTAAACTGGCGTCTTATCTGATCACGGTAACAAAATACTAAAAGGATGTCATTTGCCATTTAAAGGGATAGCATTTTACTTGGCATGCACATAAAAGTTCCAGTTTTGCAGCTAACAGTCACACCAAGGAGAGGCAGCTCTTTAGGCCAGAGGAATGTGAAAATACATCTAAGAATGGGGTAATATTGGACACCAACCTTGTAAGACAGGCATCATCAACAAGGAGAGTATTGGGAAATGAGAAGAAGAGGGAGATAGAGAAGATGGAGAAGTATATCCAGTCATTGAAAGGTCCTAGATTTGGAGGTTCAAAGGAGACAAAGAGATGGATTGTCTTTCTGGGTAAGAGATTTGTTAGAGGAAGCATTAACACCATAAACTAACAGGTGGGTGTGGTGTGGTTCTGAAGAGAGTTAAGACCCGCAAGGCTAAGCAGGGTCCCTTCGTATAGGTGTCTGAGAATGTGGGCATGCTACCAAGTTGGTGATTAGCTCATAGTCGCTGCTTGCAATCGGGTTGTTGCTGATTCGCAGGCAGCAGGAGAATTGGGAAAAGTTAAGTCCTTTAGTTAGTGTGTGTTTATCATGCAGGATGTGTCCCCCTAGCCCCCGACTGCTAAATGTGTTTAGTAGAATTCCTTTGGGGAAGTGAGGGCTATAGACACACAGACAGTATGACACACAGACAGCATGACAGGGCGCCCGCCATTTCTTTTCCAGCAGATGACAGGTATAGAGGGAAAGGGTAGAGGCACCCAGGCCCAGTTGAGCAGACCTGTAATAGTGTATGCTGGGAAGGCAGGGCCGGCCATGCAGTGTTGTCTGTGAAGGGAGTGTTGGCCTTTTGTTGAATTGTTCATGAGCTTCAGGGGTGAGACAGAGGGAGATAATTCTGAAGATCTAAGCCCAGGACAGCTCAGCTTGCTGGGGTCTGGAGCCCAGGTCCAGACGCTCATGTCATGGACAAATCAGTACTTAGGATTTGAGGTTGAGGACAGTGAGGGGCTTATTCCATGACTGAAGAGTGGAAAAGAGGGAACTTTGCTCTCAAATCAGTCTTTGAGTTCCAAGGAGTTGAAGAGGTACGGATGTCCTGTACTGAAAGAGACTAAGTTCTGTAAAGAGTAAAGCGGGAGGAAAAAAAAAAAAGACAAAATAACAAAGGAGTTAGGGATTCAGCTCAGTGCAAGTGCAAGGCCCTGGGACCTCAGGTCCAGGAAAAAAAAAGAAAGAAAGAAAAAAGAAAAAAAGAGTAATGTGCCTGAGAACAGATGAGGGACCTTCAGGAGCTCAGAGTCACCTCTTTTCACTCCTTCCAAAGTCTGATGTTTACTGATGTGGAGCAGGAGGAAGAGGAGGGAGATTAGCTGACTAGATCAAATTAGAGTGTTAGCGTTCTGACAAACCATTTCTCGTTGGTCAGCTTGTCTGTGTGCAGAGCTGAGTATCAGATCCAAAAGTTAAAAGAGAAGGAGGAGCAGGAGGAGGAAGAGGAGCAACAGAAGGAGGAGGAGCAGGAGGAGGAGGAGCAGGAGGAGGAGCAGAAGGAGGAGCAGGAGGAGGAGCAGGAGGAGGAGGAGGAGGAGCAGGAGGAGAAGGAAAAATAACCACCAACCAACCAACCAACCATCTAAACAGCAACACTAACTAACAAATGTCGCACAGTATGAAGAGAAAGATGCCGAGCCTTTTCATCACTTTCAGTCACCCCAGAGGCATATGTGAGGAACCAGCAGCCTTAAAGTTCCTTAAAGAGTAACCCAGGGAACCATTACCATCATAGCCCACATAACGGAGATGTTACCCACGGCAGATCTAGTGGAGATTAATAATGTGTCACCCAGCTGTCTGACGGTCGAAATTAGTGTCTCCGTGCTGACTAAAAGCAAGTGAAGTTTGAGTGTTTAATTTTTTCCCCCCTTGATAAGAAACTCATGGACAATCCTGTATTTGTGCTCACGTGCTTAGGAGCCATTCTCAAGGCTGTAAAAAGTCAGGGACCGTAAACAGAAGTCTAGTTCTCAGGTAGTGCTAAGAAGCATGGGGGAAGGGATGTAGTTCTAAGACATCTTCAGTTGGTAAAAAATCACTAGAACTGGTTTGAAGGGGATGACAAAGAGGGGGAAAAAAAAGCCCACAGAAGTGTCGTGATGAGACAGTTTGTGTCTAGAGGGTAGTTGGATAAAGCTGCATCGGAGAAATGGGAGCTGTAGGGAGTCACCTTGGAGTCACTTCCGTATAAACAAATGTGTCTTTAAAGGAAGGGAGAGAGGTAGAATAAAGAGAACCGGCGAAGGAGACAAGTGACTGGGGAATTAGGAGGAGAACCCACAGAACGATGACGGTGTTGACGGTTTCAGAACCGAAGGATGTGATTCACATCATTATGTGCCTGGTGAGTTGAGAAGCAGTGAGCATCCTTTGGATTTTCCAGCTGGTTTGCCACTGGGGGTTGGAAGAGAGCCGTTTTAGGGAAGCTTGGGTTGTTGTGGGGAGGTAGTTACAGAGCTAGGGGTGAATGAGAGAACCCAACTTGGAGACAGCCTGGATGGGAGAAGAGTCGGAAGAAGGTATCGGTGTTTCTGTGATGATGGACTGAGAGATGGAGCTGATGAGTGGGGGTTAATGACAGAGAAGGGACAGTCTATGGAGCAGATGC